GCAGAAGGATCGCCAGAGTCCAGCAAGTTGAGGCTGCGGTGGCCGGAAGCGGCCACTGCACTCCAGTCTGGGCGACAGAGTGAGACTCCAACTCAAAAAAAAAAAAAAATCTACACTGCGGCCAGGCTCAGTGGCTCAGCCTGTAATCCCCTCACGTTGGGAGGCCAAGGCGAGTAGATTGCCTGAGCCCATGCACTCGAGACCAGCCCGAGCAACTTGACGAGACCTTGTCTCCACAATGAACAAAAAATTAACCAGGCATGGTAGCACGTGCCTACAGTTCCAACCACTTGGAAGGCTGGGACAGAAGGACTGGGGGAGCCCAGCAGGTCGACGCTGAGGTGGCCGTGAGTGAGACCTCAACTCAAAAAAAAAAAAAAATCTACACTGCATTGCCATCTCAAATCCAAGTTAGAAGGCAGTGTGTTAAAACCAAAGACTGTTGAGAATTAGGAAAGAACCACCCTATGAACTAAACACCCTGGGGTCAGGGCTGGCTTCAGGGGCTTACAACCCACACCCAGAAGGGCCCCCCTTAGTCCAATCTCTCTTTCATCCTCTTAAAACTTTTCATAATTTTTGAACAAGGAACCCCGCATTTCACTTCACACTGGGCCCAACAAATGATGTAGCCAGTGCTGCCTGGGGCTCTGGGGCACTTTAAGGAACTGGAGGTTTCTGTCATCCAGAGAAGAAAGGTAGGAAAGAAGATAGGAGGAAGGGGAAGGAGGTAGGATGGAGAAAGAGCAAAGGAGAGAGAGCTTCTTCTTTCTCGCTTACTCAGAAACGCTGATTGATCTTCTCCCACTCTCTAGAAGTGCCTCTCTCTGTCCTTGCTCACTTTCCCCAGACCTTTCTTGGCTGGCTCCTTTTCATTCAGGTTCCAGTGCCTTCCTCTCAGAGAGGTTGAATCTATCTGCCCTGCAACTCATCACAGCACCATGTTTCTCTGCCTTCCTAACTCCAATTGTGTTCTCATGTTTTACTTGTCAGTCTGTTCACTTTACTCATGAACACACACGCACACACACTCCACGAAAATGCATGGTCCATAGAGGCAGGACGATCCCTGGGCTCTTCTCTATTCCCTAGCAACTCAACAAACCCAGACTCCAGATGCAGCTCCCAGTGTTTATTTCTCCCTGACTTTGAGCAAGTTGTTCAACCTGTCTTTGTCTGGAAGATGGAGAATAATGACACCAAGAAGCAAATGGAAGAACACAAGCACCTGGCACATTGTCTGGCATGGAACAGGTGCTTGGTAAGAATTTATCAAATGAAAGGCTGAGTGTTGTGGCTCATGCCTGTAATCTCAGCAATGTGGGAAGCTGAGATGGGAGGATCGCTTGAGCCAGAAGTTCAAGACCAGCATGGGCAACATAGTGAGACCTCATCTCTATAAAATAAAATAAAAAAATAGCCAGGTATAGTGGTGCTCACCTGTGGTCCCAGCTACCCAGAAGGCTGAGGCAGAAGGACTGCTTGAGTCCAGGAGGTTGAGACTGCAATAAACCATGGTTGCCCCACTGCACTCCAGCTTGGGCAACAGAGTGAGACTCTGACTAAAAAAAAAAAAAAAAAAACCAAAAAACAAAAGAAAAGAAAATCAAATGAATACAACTGATGATTGTTGATCTCCTACCATGTACAAGGTACTGTGTAAGAAACCCATATTCTTTTCACTTCTTATTGCTAACCCATCTTCAGGATGAAAAGACTGAGGCTGAGATGAGAAGACTGAGGCTTAGAGAGGTGGAATAACTTGCTCAAGGCCATGTAGCTATTAACCATTGGATACCTAACTGGAGACCAGGCTTGCTGAAATGCAGAGCCCATGTTCTCCCCCAATTCTTTCCCCACTTCCTGTTGCAATAATCCTACACAATGCATGGCACTCCTCCAGGTACAAAATATATTTCTTGCTCTGTAGTCATTTCACAACTCACAGCAGTCCTGATATGAGTGTGGTTCCTCCCAACTATGAGTCAGGTGCTGTGTAGAAACTAGAGATTTAGTTAGGAAAAAAGCATCAGAAGCCCCGCAGGAAGACTTAAGGCCATAGAGACAGAAGATTAGGAAAATATAGACAGGAATCTAAGGTTCAGATTGGATTCCTGGATGCCTGAGGCCTGGATCTCAGATGAAAGGATGAATATGAGTCTTGTTACCTAGAAAGGAGGCATAGAGAGGTGTCTCCTATTAGGATGAGGGTGAGGGCAGGGTCCCTTTAAGGCTAAAGAGGACCCCCTTCCCCAAGCAGAGATTGGAGTGGTATCTGTGGCCCTCTGTGACCTCACCTACAAGATCTCATTCCCCAGTTGAGACTGTTCCTTGCTTCTTGTCACACCTTCTTCAGCCTGTCACCCATACCTCCAAGTATGAACCCTCTGCCTCTTTCTAATTTTGTCATTTAAAAAAAAAACTTTTATTATTTATTAGAAAAGTGAGGTGTCATTGCTCACCACAGCCTCGAACTCCTGGATTCAAGTGATCCTCTCACCTTGGCCTCCGCAGTAGCTGGGATTACAGGTGTGTGCCACCATGCCCGGCTAATTTCTTACCATGCAAGTGGAAATGGTTCACAAATGTTGCTCACTGGCCAAAGATATCAGTTCATCCTCATTAGAATTAATGCAAAAGCTCTATTGTTTCTATGAATAGAAAAGTCAGCCCAAACACCAAACAAGTAATACTGACAAAAGGGGTTTGTAATTCTGCCATGGTACTCAAAAAATAGGAGGAGGGGGGAGTGGGGGGGGGGGGACCTGAAGATGATTATAAGTTGGAAGCAGCACAGAATCAGGACTGCTCTTTCACCAGCAAATTAGCGGGGAATGGTGGAAATACTTGGAATGTGCATGGAAGCCACTTTTGCACACACTGAAGATGTTTTAGATAAAGTCTTTTATTTAGAGGCAAGAACAAGAAGTTTTATTTTATTTTATTTTATTTGAATCAGTGAACTCTATCACTCAGGCTGGAGTGCAGTGGTGTGATCATAGCCCACCGCAGCCTGGAACTCCTGGGCTCAATGGATCTTCCCACCTTGGTCTCTGCAGTAGCTGGGGCTACAGGCACATGCCATCATGCCAAGCTAAGTTTTTCTTTTTCTTTTCTTCTTATTCTTCTTCCACTTTATTTATTTATTTATTTATTTATTTATTTATTTATTTATTTATTTATTTATTTGGGACAGGGTCTTTCTCTGTTGCCCAGGGTGGAGTACAGTGATATGATCATAGTTCAGTGGAGACTCAAACTCCTGGGCTCGAGCAATACTCCTGCCTCAGTCTCCCAAGTTGCTAGGATCACAGGCATCAGCCTCCATGCATCACCACGAACATGGAGTTTGAGAGTCCACTGAGTATCCATCTTGATGCTGCTGAGCATGGACATCTCCAGTGGAGAACCTGAGGCTATAAATCTTTGAGCAGCTATGACCAGCCCAGGACTGTATGAGGGAAGAGGCTATGCATATTCTAAAATTAGGTGTATAGCATACATAACTCATATGGGAAAAATCTCCCAAAGAGAGCACCAGTATAGCTAGAGATATGTGTGCATGTTCATTGCACAGATCTTTAAAAATATAAATAAACTTGAAGCAAAATTGTCACCCGTAACGCCTTCCCTCCGTGTTAGAATGTTGGTGTGTTTCTTCCAGTTTTTTTCCTTGGCTATTCATAGTCAGCTCCAATATAGACAATACAGATGTCTGGTTCTTCCTACTGGCTACAGTACAGCTGATATGTATTCCTCTCTGTTTCCCTTGTCCAACCATACCCACATCTCCCAAAGGTCAGGGGCTGCCCCCTGCCTCTACCCTTTAAGAGGGTGTGCATAGCAAAGGTTTGGGTAGGAAATTCAGCAGATCTGGGTTCTAACTTAGGGCCGAGTTCCAATCTGCTGTGTGACTTTGAACCTCTCCAAGGTCAAGTCCTCATGTGGAATCACAGAGGGTTGCACTCCAAAGTCTGGCATTTGACTGTTCTGACTGCAGCATGAACCAACCTTCCCAGAGAGGAAGACTGAGAAAAACTGCTTTCCACTGTGGCCTGCTCAGGTGTGTGCAGGGAGCTTGTAAGAGCTGAGAGGGAACCACACCTGCAGGTTCCTTATTGCAAAGTTCCGCAAAGAAAATGTCTTCACCACAGAGGCTGGAATCGGGGCACAGATGCCACCACAAAGCAGGCAGCTGCAGTTCCCAGAGAAGAGACAAGCTAAGGCTACAAAGGCAGCCCCTGGGAACATGATGCTAGGGACTGGACAGCCTGAGCCCTAAGCCCTGCTAGGACACCACAAACTCCCTCCAGTCAAGCAGCCTGCCTGTGGTTTGCGGCAGCCTGGGACTCGAGTGGAGGTGGTGGGGAGCAGCCTTTCTTCTGAGAAAGGCACCTGACATTGAAGTTGGGTGGTCTTGCCAATCACCAGCCCAGCCTTGAATCAGCCATTACCCTTGAAGAACAATGCTTATTATTCTGTACAAACATAGCCTCCACTTATATAGCACTTACATCCCCAGCACTGCTTGAAGTAATGTTCATCTATGAACTCCATTAACCCTCACTAACAACCCTGTGGGGTAGGCAGTAGGTTGAACACATGAAACTTCCAGTCTGTAGGTCAAAAATAATCAAATCTTGGCAATTTCACGTGGTTCAGTCTAACATTATTATGTCCACTTTATAAAGGAAGAAATTAGACCAAGATTGGACATGTAACTTGCCCAAGGTCACATACTGGAGCCCTCATTCTGGCCATGTTGCCTCACCGGAAGCTTGCTGAGCCAGCCAGGTGGTTTCTGTGGTCCCAAGGAAAGGTCAACACCAGTGGGTGGCATCCTATCTCTCTTTTCCCATATAAGCCCATGATCCCTCCAGCCTCTGAACACCATTGGGTTTCCAAGCACATGTGGCCCCAGCCCAGCTCAAGGCTGCTGAGCTCCCCAGGGTGCCACCCACTTGCTGCACCCTGCACTCTGCCCACCCCCTTGAGGTTACCTCTCTGTATCACTGTCACTGGATGCTACCTCTTCCAACGCTGCCTGCAGGTCGGCAATCCGCCGGATGGATGTCTCCAGGTCTGTCTGGAGGGTCTGCCTCACTGCCGCCAGCTCCTCCACATACTTCTCCTGGGGAGAGAGGATGCGAGCACACATTGGCCTAGAACAACACCCCCACCTTCCCATGAGTTCATTAGGGAGGAAATATACCCTGGGCTGAGCCTAGTGTCCATTGAGCCTAGTGACCTACTAGGAGGCGGGTATTCCATGAGGGGCTCTCTGCAGGTGGGCTTACAGGATCCACAGCTAGATGGTCCCTGTTTTATAAAGGAGGGAATGGATGCTCCGGGGCATGGCCCAGGGATGCAGAGCTCACTCACCCATGCAGAGGGGACTGCACCCAGTATGGCTGACCCCAGGGACCATGCTCTGAATCTGCACCACTATGCTGCCCAGTGTACAGAGGGTAATCTGCCCATCTTGCATGGAATAGTAAATGTATAAACCAGGAATAGTTCCAGAGGCTGGTTCTGACCTAAGTCGTAGGGATGGATCTGGTACAAGAGATTGGGGGGTGATCAGAACAAGAATGAGTTCCTTTCAACTCTCCCCTAGATGCCCCCAATTTCCATCCTTAACAGCAGCCAAAGCAAAGATGGAGAACCCAATGGGGTTCCCTGAAGAGCAGGCAAACACAACAGGCATTTATTGGGCACTTTCTGGGGCCAGCACTGTGTTGAGTGTTTGCCTGTGGTAACCTTACTCACACCACACAAGTCCAATAGGCGAGTCGCTATTCTTGCTCCCATTTCATAGACGAGTTGTTAAGGCCTTGAGAAGCAAAGACTTCATGGCAGTGCTAGAATTTGAGCTCCTCTCTCAGTGCTCAGTACATCTGACTACTCTCTCAGTGCTCAGTACTCCCTGGTACTGCCCTAAGAGATTCTGTCTGGGCCCTTTGGAACCTATTTTACACACCTCTACTCATTAACACGATTGTCAGTGGGGATTTATTTTGCACTCTACAGGACATCTGGCAATGTCTGGAGACACTTCTGGGGTGTGTGCTGCTGGCATCTAGTGAGTAGAGGCCAGGGATACTGTTCAACATCACACAAGGCATAGGACAGTCCCCATGACCAAGAATTATCCAGCCCACATGTCAGCAGTGCTGAGTCTGAAACCCTGGGTTAAACTCAGAATCCCACCTTCTGGGAATCCATCTTATGGAGGATGAATCAAAGGCAGTCTTTTCTGTCCCCGTGCTTGGAGCGGTACTTCTGACACCAGGGAGAAGCTGAAGGCGGCCTTGTCACCCAGCCATTGGGGATGTTAGGGAAATCACAGCGTGTCACTTTGATGCTGTTAGGCAGACATTAACATTAGAAATAAGGATTGGGGCAGCAGGGAATGCTTCTGTGAGATAGTGTGTCACAAATGGAATGGAGCAAAAAAGTATTATGCCCAAATCCATGCAAATGAGACACACACACTTGGAGAGTTGAGAATATTTATGGATCAGGGTGAGGTGGGGTTACAGATGGGATTTTTCTCTTAAACAGTTCTAGCTATGTAAAGTTTATTTTTGGACTGTTGTGTAAAGGAACATGCACATACTAACTGATGAGAGTGAGTATGGTAGGGGCTTGAAGATTTAGGATCGGTTCTAAGTGCACTTCCCAGTTCCTCACTGAACTCAGTCACCGTGTGGCCATGAAGGGATCACAGCTCCTCTCTGACCCTGAGATCATTTTTCTATATGTTATGCAAGGGGAAATTAAGGCCAGTGAGGCCACACAGGACAAGCAGAAGAACTGGGATTTGAAGGCTTCGGGATCTGAACCCTGGTGCTCCCTGGGGCTCTGGGTCCACTGATCTTTCCCAGGCTTTGTGTGCATACCCAACTCAGCAAGGACTGGATGGTTCTCCCTTACAGAGAGGGACAGGCTCAGCTCTCCTCGGCAGGTCAGCTAGTCCATTCACATCACTGAAAGTCTGTGCCTTTTAAATGATGTTGAGTCTTTTAAGATTTTTCCAGAGAGAGAGAGAGAGGGAGAGGGAGCAGGTGAAGACTGAACAGGCCCTGGGGCCATGCTGACCAGCTGGTGAGAAGGAGGGGGTGACATGGAGGAAGCTGAGGTGGCGTGAGAAGGGGCTGGCAGTCCGTCGTGGTGATTGAAACCACCAACTGTGAAATCCCCATCTCAGCCCTGACAAGGTGAGAGACGATGCAAGCAGGGGCCCCAGGCTGGAGGCTGGCGGGCTGTCAGAGGAAATAAAGGACACCAAGGGACAGCGAGGGGGTGCTCACCCCAGGATGTCAGTTCATAAACACACATAGAAAACGGCTGGGTGCGAATCCAGCAGGTTATGGGAGTATTTGCTCAGGACTCATTCTCTCCTGGTAGGTCAGGATCATGGTGTCACCAGGCAGCAGCCACCTCCTCCAAGGAGACATGGCACCTGCATCTTTTTAAAACACAAAAGTAGAAATCTGGATTTCTGCCTTAGATTCTGTCAGAAGTCTGGGTTGTTGTTAAGTACGCTGGATCCCACAAACAGCGGCTGAATGAATGTCCATTTGAGAGATGAGGAAACTGAGGGCCAGAGCAGCAAGATGACTGGTCTCACAGCTGAAAGACTACAAAGCTGAGAAGAGTAACCCTGTCTTGGGTTCCCAGGTGAGAACTCCCAGGTGCTGAGACAGGAGGAAACAGCAAGACGTCCCCTGGGGGTTTGCTTGGGTGAGCCTTGCCCTTGCCAGTATCATGCAAGAACAGCGAGGCCTAAAGTCTATCCCCTCAGGGGTCCCCCCTGATGGGTGGAGGAGAGGGATAGAGGCAGGTACTGTGTCTCAGGGGTGGGTGAGTCTGGGCTGGGACCAAGCAGGTGGGCAAAAGAAATGGGAGCCTGGAATGAGTCGACTCCAAAATATCATGAAAGTGGAAGTAGGCTCTGGAGTCGCTGCCTGGGTTCGAATCCCAACTCAGCTGCTCACTGGCTGTTACTCAACCTCTCTGACCCTCAATTGTCTCACTGGAAAAATGGGGGCAGTAATTTTGACCCTCCTTGACAGGGCTGTTATGAGGAGTAACTGACCTTGACAGACAAGAAAACCCCGACCAATGGTGGCACTGCTGTCATTTAATTCTCAGGTGAGAATAAGAAGCATCAGAAAGGGGGGGTATCGTCCCCAAGTCACTAAGTCACTTAGGAGACTTGCCAGGGTGAATAAAGAGATTGGAATGCAGGACTCTGTCTCCAAAGCTTTTTCACTACCTGCTGAGAAAAGACGTGAACAGAAGACAAGGGCAGCAGAGATGATGAGTCGGCTAGACAGAGTGAGAGGAGATGAGAACAGAAAGCTATCAAGAGGCGAGGGTACATGGACCAAGGATGGGCTTCAAGGGACCTGCCACTACCCCTGCCTTCTGCCATGCCCCCTTGCCCTCTGCATCCCATCCTCCCTCTGCAGGGAATGCATCAGACTCAGCGGGAACATCCCAGAGAGAAGATTCGAGAAATTTAGTGTCTGTGTAATCAGCAATCAGCAAATCTTTCCTGCTTCAGCTTGAAAGCCAAATGGAGCCTGCTGATTGCAGAGACCAAGTCATTAGGTTAAATGGATGCAATGCCCCCAAACAGTTTCCCTGGGGCAGATAAAACAAGGCTCCTTGCAGAGACCACTCAGGAGGCTCAGGAGAGAGGAGCACAAGCAGTGGGAGGCACAAAAGAAGTGCCCTCTTTCAGCCCTGAGAGTTGGTCTTTCTTCCACCCTCCATGGAGCAGGAAGTTAGCCAGAAGCAATGATGACATCTGACAATGACACTGGGGATTGGGAGAGGGTTGCTCTGTGTAAAAGGGGTTGTGTCTTGAGGTCAGGAGTGAGCTTGGTCTTCTCTGTTGTTAGGACTCTTTAGGGACTTGAAGCATGAGGAGTTTAGGGGCTTGGGGGAAATTAGGACACAAAATTATTTAGCTAGTTAGATGTATATATAGTAGAAACCTACTAGGAAATACACCATATGCCCAGACTAATCTAAAACTACAATATAGTGAGATACACATTAAACTAGATACAGACTATCACACATCCTAGTATATATTATATATGCATATACTATTCATTCTTGCCTACATTCATTCAATGAGCATCTGCTATGTGCCAGCACTGATCTAGGCATGGGTGATACAGATAAGTCCTCATTACCATGGAACTTTCATTCTTGCAGGGAACTAATCTCTATCTGTATTGCTGGCGTCTGGAACACAGCAGGCACTCAATATATGTTTAGGGATGGAGTGAATGGTGTTACTGTGTGGCTATTAGTGGGGAATGAAGGAAGGATCAGGTATTACATAGTGTACATACTCACTAATGCACACGCAGTATATATGATGTACACACTATATACAGATAATATGAGAGGGTCCCCCAAAAAACTAGAATTATCTTTTGGAGGGTGGCCCCTTGTAGTAACAGGGCTTCCCCACTAGGCAGGTGTTCTAGGAACACATCAGCATCAGTGTACTAGTTAGTGTTGTTGTGAGAGGTTTCAGTGAATTTTTTTTGGAGATTCTTTCAATATTTTGCCCATTTCATGACGGGTGATTTACAAGTCCACACTACACTGAGTGTTCAGCAGTTTTTGACCAAAACTGGCATGAACCCTGTACCCTACCCTCCCTGTTCACCTGATCTCACCCCGAGTGACTTTTGTTTTTTGTTTCCCAGGATTAAAAAAAAAAAGTCCTCAAAGGAAATGTTTTGCTGATGTGGAAGAGGTGAAACAAAAATTTGCAGAAACACTAAAAGGCATCAAAATGGACGAGTTCAAAACTGTTTTGAGCAGTGGAAAAAGCATCTTGATAGGTGTATTGCATCAACCAGAGGATACTTCAAAGGTGACTGAAGTTTAAACTTGTAAGAATAAATACAGTTTTTTATAAATAAATTCCAGGGTTTTTGGGTCCCCCCTCATATCTATACCATGTATAAAATGAGAGCAATAAAATAATACGTCGTATGCTGATAAAACGTATACTTGCCAACCTCCGCAGCATTACTTGAGAAAACTGTGCCCTCTTGTGCTCCCAGGTTACTCCCCCTGGAGCATGCTGCACAGAGT